TCTTGTTCATAGGTACGGCATGTTAATTTGCATGTTTTGTATTCTTGGTCTACTATGGACTGAAGTTCATATACATCTTAAGAATTTATATTCCATTGTGATTCTGACTAAGACCCAGCTACTCAGATTCTCCTTCCTTGGAAAGGGCTGTACGTTTTCTACAATGGCCTTCTGATGTTGCGTTACGCACTGTGGTTACAAATATTGCAACGTTGAATTGTCCTGTAAAGTGTGGTTTTGGGACAGAGCCATAGAAAAACCTCCAGGAAGTGGCCTGTCCTCACCTCCCCCTCTCCATAATGTGTCATCGGCTGGGCAATAATAACATTTTGCCGCTGCGGTCCGTCCACTGACTGATCTTTCTCCACATTACAATGACAAGAGGCATTAGTCGGGACAATAACAAGGCTTACATCAGCAGCTGGAATAATAAATATGGCTGTAGTTGTGGGTCAGCAATTAAAGTTTCGCCACCAGGGGCCCCTATTGTGGTTTTGAACACATCATTTGCATGTTATTTTGTGACACATTTCTTATCAGCTACTTCGTTACAGATGTCCTTATCTATATGATCTTATTACACATTCCTTATCTATATTTGTCGTATATCTGTGTCTGGACAAAAATGTGTAATTATGGAGTGCTGAACTGGCCTGGAAGAGATTCTTCAGAAACAGACCCAAATATCTTTAGCCTGTTGCAGGTGACTGATGTCCAGTTATGGCTCCAGTTACTTCCCTGGCCTCCGTAGCCACCAGAGATCCACTGAAGTGGATTGTGCAGTCAGCGTGGTTTGCCGGCAGGCCATGCCATAGCTCCAAGGGCTTGCTACATTCATACAAGCGTTGTTTTGAACACAGAAGAAACAAGCTTTGAAGTAGGCGTCATGCACACTGGCACCTGGGGCTCTACACTGTAGAACATCGTATTTTTTGAGTAGTTCAAGAGTTACTGTTGAAATTTCAGCTGTGGGTACCCCTATCGGAACCACCCAACTTGTTTAAAGTCAAAGGAGCTGGGTGGAAAATGTATTGGCTGAACAATGACCCACGTCCAATCAGATGCAATCACTGGGTGACCAGACAGCCACCAGTGCATTCCAGTGGCCCAAGGTACTTATGGTGCGCACTTCTGGTTTTATTTTGTGTTCAAAGGGCTGAATGTGCGTTCCAGTGGCTCATGCCCTGTGGAATGAGGGTGGAGGAGTCGCATTACAATGATGATGGCACACACTGCAGCTGGTTTCTGTGTCTGTACTGGAAGATGACATTTCAACTTAGAAGGATCCATGTGTCTGGTATTCTGGGGAGATCTTTAGATGTTTATGTAAAATTTGCTGACATTTTGATTTACTGCATCTAGCATTTGATGCCAATCGGTATTTTTCAGTGATTTTGTTTTCATATTTTTATTTCTCTGTTTTTAATTATTTTTTATTGCTGTTGCCTGGGCGGAACTAGAGGTTTTTTTTTTAATGTCCCCTTTACCTGTTGGACCTCAATCCCCCACTCAGTGTAGGTCCTCATAAATCTATTCTTGATGGGGGGGACCAGGAATGGCAATAAAGAAAGTTTACTACTTTGTGATTTGGCACCTTTTTTTTTTTTTTTCTATTGACTACGTAATAGCACTCCAGACTAGAAGATAAGCATACACACTCACTCAATTGATGGGGGGAGTTACTTTGTGTGAGTATTTATAAAGATGTGGTTTACCAGTATCTCCAATACACACCTTGTTTGGATTAGCCTCATGATGACTTCGGTCCTCCCTAGATAATTACGGGATTTCTAGCCTTCCACTATCTCTGGCACATAGTCCAGGACAACGTGTTTCTTCTCTGGATAGTTAATGGTTAATATAAGCTTGCTTTCTATCCATCCATAAAATTTCAACACCCCCCCTGTGGAGTACTTCCACTTCATTTGTACCTTCCTTTTTGATCGATAGACTATTTTTTGGTGGTTAAACTGCACTAGGGCCAATTCCAGCAGGATATCAGTTGAATTTGGTGCCTTCTACTGGGGGCTTTTATGCTGCGAATGCTTATCCTTGCGGGAAAGTATGGAACTCTTGAAATATCTACCACGACATGAACACCTGATTATGAAGGTTCAACTATTGTACCCCCCCCTACATGCCCCATGAAATGTGAAAGGTTCACTTTAAAGCGGGGGTCTGCAACCAACACAGATCGTGATCCATCAGTAGATCTCGGCCTCCCTCAATTTGCTTGACTGTCGTAACACTATTGACTAACACACAATGGTTCAGGGCTTGCTGTACCCACCATCCAACACCGGAGCACTCTCAAACGCTAGCACCGCTCACACCTCACTCACCCTTACCAATTCACGGGACTACTTCTGCCATGTAAGTTGGTAGCTTGTAGATAGGGCGCATGCGGCGACGCTAAGTTGATGATCGTCTTCATACATCCTTTCCATGGTTGGTCGTGTACGGCGCTCGATGTGACAATGTCACCTGCCAACAATCGACGACCTATTTCCAGCATCCCACACCCCACCTTCCAGGCAATTAATTACCCTGAGGCCACTCTGCAAAGTGCCCTGCAACCGTAACTGCCAGTACAGGCAAAAAAGGGGTGTCAAAACAGGCAGCGGTCTGTGGTACAATGTCTTTTTCTACACCTGTGCTTTAAGATAACCCCTTGGACCCTGCAGCCTCGTGAAGCATGCAGTTTCGCGTGGGCACATGCACACAACCACCCCCCGCCAGTGGCCCCATTTAGTTGAATGAATGCCGCTGTCTCCTCGACCCTCGACCAGGCCCGGCTGCCCCCCATGTGACAACAGGGTGGGTAACATACACCAAAAAGCAACGGAGATGTAATTCCTGCTGTGGCATGTGTATACCTTTGAGCTGCTGTGCGAGTAGAGATTGGGGGCTCAACAGCAGGGTTTTACCCCCCCCCACACATTTACATGTGGAACTGAGCTCTAAAGAGTGCTGCTGCCGGATGCAACTAAGGGTTCATTCACAAGTGCAGCAGGCACTACTTCTCTGCAAAGTGATCCGAGTGTGTTGGACAGGTGGTTGAGGAGGCGATATGTTGCTTCTCATTTTAAACCCATGATTTGCCGTGCCGTGCACTCACAATTGTGTGATTGACACGGTATAGAGTACTGCAATTAGAGGTATTTATATCAGGTCTGAGGTGACCCTGGCTGACACTGGGCCCGGAGATCTTTGACTTCTCCCAATGTTGTTCAGGTAGATCTCCACCTCTTTAAGGTTGCCTACCCCTGCACAATAATGTGAAACAAAGTCCGCAGTACTTACCTCTGCTTCAGTTGTCGGTGGGTCCTGTACCAGCCATCTTCCTCAGATTCTTCCCAGGTAATATAAATTCAAAAATAAAAAAAAAAAATATAGGAATTACCCGGGCTTACCATGATAACTTTGGTTATTTTAGTACCTAGCAGCTCTATCTTTTTTTTTCTTGTTACCGACGCCAGACAGAGCTTGATTCATTCCCATTGAGATAAGGTTGGGGACACAGTCCCCTTATCTTATATTTACAAGTGGCTGAAACGCTATGCTGGGGAGCTGAACACTGTGTTGTGGAAGGAGCGCTGACCTCTGCCCAATCATTACGTTATCAGAAGAGCAAATCAACACACGCGGCTTCTGGAGCACCTTCCGCTAGAGCAGCCTTTCTCCACCAGGGTGCCCAGGCAACCTGAGGTGCCTTGAGGAATCTTCAGGGGTGCCTTGAGGTTTCTTCAGGGGGTGCCTTGGCAAAAATGTCTAAAAATTACCCAAAACTTGTATACAAGCCAGCGGGTGGAACAAGCCGGCCTTTTAGTTACACAAAGCCACAGGTTTTCATTTGTGCGCCATTAAGGACCTTCTACCCACGCGGCATCATGACAACCAATGGACATCATCAGTTGATGAGGTGGATGTCAGCTGCCTGCACAGCATCCTAGTTTGCCCCTCCCAGCCCCTCTCCATCAGTGCTGGTGCCACATTAGCTCAGTGATGGGAGAAAAACTGAGGGAGAAGAGAAAATTAGAATACTAGTCAGTACCAGTATGCAGAAGTGTATTCGCTTTGGAATAATAAGTCACCTCTGATGTTGGGGGTCCTACATGTGTGGGATGTTGCTGCTATTAGAATAGTTTTTCACATTTTTATAATGGGATGCTCTCAAGACTGTCCATCATTTTAACCTCCCTGGAGGTATTCCCGAGAGTGTAGCTTGGGGTAAAGTTTCAGCACCACCACAAGCGAGGTAACCCCCGAGCTACACTCCCCAGCAAATGTCCTACGCCGGCCGATGCCGGCATCTGTCTTCCAGGTTCCGTTCCTGCAAACGTCAGGATGTATGGGGGACAGAACCGGCAGTGAAATTTAAAAATATCAAAAAAGTGACATTCACAAAAATACACTAAAATTACATTAGTATAACATTTACTGTATCAAACCATTTCACTACAATTTGTCCTCGAGTGCTTTGTCCGGCGCCCTGCCTGCATTTTTTGACTGTTTCTTTTTGCCTGGAAACTGAGAAACGTCCATGGTGTCCAAAAAGCGTCCCTTTAGGTCAAAAGTGGTTTTAGACCGGCTAGAGAACAGCGATTAGTAAATCAGAACCACTTGCAGAATTGAGTGATAATGATTCGTGGGGAAATTCCTCATCAGACACTGAAAACGATTCTACGACTTTGTTCAGTGATGTGTGAACTTGGCGCTATATTTCAAATTTCAGTGTTTTTGGTTTTGATTATTTATTGAATTAAATTTATTATTATATTATTTTTTATGATTATTTATTAAATTATGATTTTGTGTTTAAAATTTTAACATACCCGGGATGTTTACTAGACTCTTGTTTGGACAGATTTCAGTGAGTTATTCCTAAAAATTACAGGCCTACAATAAAAAAAATACATATTTCCATGCAAAAAAATGTACCGCTTTGAGCACAGAAATACTGACATAATCAGACCACTAGGAGGTTAAAGTGTGCCTCGGGACTGTCCATAATTTTAAAGGGTGCTTCGAGACTGTCCATCATTTTAAAGGGTGCCTCGGGACTGTCCATCATTTTAAAGGATGCCTCGGGACTGTCCATCATTTTAAAGGATGCCTTGGGACTGTCCATAATTTTAAAGGGTGCCCCGGGACTGTCCATAATTATAAAGGGTACCTCGGGACTGTACATCATTTTAAAGGGTGCCCCGGGACTGTCCTTCATTTTAAAGGATGCCTCGGGACTGTCCATCATTTTAAAGGGTGCTTCGGTTTGTCCATCATTTTAAAGGGTGCTTCGGGACTGTCCTTCATTTTAAAGGGTGCCTCGGGACTGTCCTTCATTTTAAAGGGTGCTTCGGGACTGTCCTTCATTTTAAAGGGTGCCTCGGGACTGTCCTTCATTTTAAAAGGTGCTTCGGGACTGTCCTTCATTTTAAAGGGTGCTTCGGGACTGTCCATCATTTTAAAGGGTGCTTCGGGACTGTCCATCATTTTAAAGGGTGCATCGGGACTGTCCATCATTTTAAAGGGTGCCTCGGGACTGTCCATCATTTTAAAGGGTGCCTCGGGACTGTCCTTCATTTTAAAGGGTGCCTCGGGACTGTCCATCATTTTAAAGGGTGCCTCGGGACTGTCCATCATTTTAAAGGGTGTCTCGGTACTGTCCTTCATTTTAAAGGGTGCTTCGGGACTGTCCATCATTTTAAAGGGTGTCTCGGGACTGTCCTTCATTTTAAAGGGTGCCTCCGGACTGTCCTTCATTTTAAAGGGTGCCTTGACTGAAAAAAGGTTGACAAACACAGGTCTAGAGATCCAAGATCTTTGAGAGCTTCCATGTTCCTTCCATTTCCAGCTATATACCGCACACTATTACAGTGTACTATGGTGGGGGCTGCCTGAGCTGTAGAGGGGAGGGGGAGATATACCAAATCAGTGGCTTTTGTTTTCCAGATGTTTCAGCTGGGTCCTTCCGTGATTTATGGTTCTAATTCATTTTAGGAACCCAGCGGGGAGGTCTTCTGGTTTTACAGCAGCCTTGAAGCAAGAGTGTGTCTCAGACGCAGAAGGGTGGGCAGAGGGAATGAAGAGTGGGAGGCATAAGTTTACATCTATACAATCTATGTAGCAGGCCTTATAAAGAGTTCAGTGTATATATTTTATACATGCAGTATTTGGATAATGGCATCCTTTTTATAGGGCAACAAATGAGTGAATGTGATAGTGGTGATCGCAGAGATCTTGAAACGCTGTTTTGTTAACAAGTCCAGTTTCCAGTTCGCTTGCAGTGTCATTGTATCTGGTGTTGTTACAGATTGCACTGTCGGTGCTGATTGCACTGTCGGTGCTGATTGCACTGCCTTTCATACAGATAGGCACTAGAGGGGGCATCCATTAAAGCTGTAAATGAAAGGTAACATTGACCACAAAGTGAACATTTGAAAAATCACAGTTGCCTCTCTCTGGATGCTGACACTGATGGGGTTTTAAAACACTGTCATCCTTCTGTCTACACCAAGCAGCTGCTTTAGCAAGGCATGATGGGAGGTTACAGTGTATCAGATTAGCTTCCTGCAGCAGATGTTTCCACCTCACAGATAATTGTTGTAGGACTCTTTGGCATGGAGTGGTTGTGGAACAGCTGAACATCATTTCCTTGGTCCAGGAAGCACTTGGTGGATATTGTATGCTGGCCTGTGCTCAGAGGGGTGTCCGTCAGAGTTCAGTGCTGCCCCTGTCCTGACAAAGGTCCGATGGTAGAAGAAGTATAATTATAGAAATGGTAAAATAGAACTTTTCAATAATTTTACCTCCTACATCTACCCCAACTCTTCCCTTTGTCCATAAGAAATTCATTTTCAGAGTCCTTCATTTTTTTTTTTAATTCAATATTTCCAATAACGACATAGCAATTACATCAACAATACAATAAACAGTACAACAAGTAAAAGATTCCTTCATTTTTTAAAGCCATCTTTTTATTTTTCATAAAGCTTTGTACAGATGCGTATTGTTTAAAAAAAAAAAAAAATTTGGAAATACCTGAAATATCTTTTTTTTTTTGGTCTCTCAGTGGAAATGCAATTGTTTTTTCCACTCCAGTGCTGTATTCTGGCTTTCTGAGCAAAGGCCACACCTGTCCTCTCAGGTGTCCACAGTGCTGGAAAAGAAAGGGAGCATTAATGACCTGGTTTCATAGATTACAGAGAGCACTGGACAGTGTGGTTAGATTCTGGTCCTCTCCAGTGCTCTATGCTGCCTGTAAAGGCCACGCCAAGCATCTCAGGCGTGTGCAGCAGTGTTGGAGAAGAAAGGAGCATTAATGACCTGGTTTCATAGATTACAGAGAGCACTTGATATAACAGGTTATCAGACTCCTGTGCACTCTGGTCCTCTCCAGTGCTCTATGCCAGCTGTCTGAGTAAAGGCCACGCCAAGCATCTCAGGTGTCTTCAGTGATGGAGAAGAAAGGAGCATTAATGACCTGGTTTCATAGATTACAGAGAGCACTGGACAGTGTGGTTAGACTCTGGTCCTCTCCAGTGCTCTATGCTGCCTGTCGGAGTAAAGGCCACGCCAATCATCTCAGGTGTGTGCAGTGTTGGAGAAGAAAGGAGCATTAATGACCTGGTTTCATAGATTACAGAGAGCACTGGACAGTGTGGTTAGATATTGGTCCTCTCCAGTGCTCTATGCTGCCTGTAAAGGCCACGCCAAGCATCTCAGGCGTGTGCAGTGTTGGAGAAGAAAGGAGCATTAATGACCTGGTTTCAAAGATTACAGAGAGCACTTGCTATAACAGGTTATCAGACTCCTGTGCACTCTGGTCCTCTCCAGTGCTCTATGCCAGCTGTCTGAGTAAAGGCCACGCCAAGCATCTCAGGTGTCTTCAGTGATGGAGAAGAAGGGAGCATTAATGACCTGGTTTCATAGATTACAGAGAGCACTGGACAGTGTGGTTAGACTCTGGTCCTCTCCAGTGCTCTATGCTGCCTGTCGGAGTAAAGGCCGCGCCAATCATCTCAGGTGTGTGTGCAGTGTTGGAGAAGAAAGGAGCATTAATGACCAGGTTTCATAGATTACAGAGAGCACTTGATATAACAGTGTTATCAGACTCCTGTCCTCTCCAGTGCCCTGTGCTGTTTGAGTAAAGGCCATGCCAGTTGTCTCAGGTGTCTGAGATGCTGGGGAAGAAAAGGGAATGTCTGGCCAGGTCTCTGAAAATACAGAGAGCACTGGACAGCGTGCTTAGACTCTGGTGCAGTCTGGTCCTCTCCAGTGCTCTATGCTGGCTGTCTGAGTAAAGGCCACTCCAGTCATCTCAGGTGTGTGCAGTGATGGAGAAGAAGGGAGCATTAATGACCGGGTTTCATAGATTACAGAGGGCACTTGAAATGACCGTGTGATCAGACTCTGGTGCACTCTGGTCCTCTCCAGTGCTCTGTGCTGGTTATCTAAGTCAAAGCCACGCCTGTCATCTCAGGTGTCCTCCAATGCTGGGGAAGAAAGGGGTATGTCTGACAAGGTCTCTTAGATTCCAGAGAACATTAGACAGTGTGGGTCAGGCTCTGGTCCTCTCCTGTGCTCTAAGCTGGCAAAGCTGAATGAAACCCACACCAGTCATCTCAGGTGTCCACAGTGCTGGGGCATGTTGGACCAGGTCCATTATATTACAGAAGGCACTAAATAGTATGGCCAAACTCTGGTGCACTCCTGTCTATTCTAGTGCTGGAATAGACCAGCTAAAGCCACCTCAGGTGTCTGCAGTGCATGGACAGAAGGGGGCTAGTCTGACCACGTCTGTTAGATTAACAAGAGCACTGAAAAGTGTGGTCATTCTGTGGTGCACTCCAGTGCTCTATGCTGGCATCGGTGAATGGGTAAATGTTACACTTGTCATCTCAGGTGTCTGCAATGCTGGGATAGAAAGATTACAGAACATACAGGACAGTGTGCTCAGATGCTGGTGTCTTTTGGACCGCTCAGTCATGTTTAGGCACTCTGTGCAACTGCTCTAGGTGGGAATGCAGGTTGGTAGTACGGTATCCCTCTTTCTGAGTATATAGTTCTGTGAATTCAGTTGGGTTTTAAATAAAGAGTGCAGGTTTTCTATGACCATGTTTTCTCTATGGTTTGTAAATCATGTGACTACCCTCCACCTACTGTACTCTAGCACAGTTTATTTCTTACCCGACATTCTGTGCATGTATGACTTTTTCTAAAACGAGCTAAAGCATAGTTCTAGCTCTGTCCCCACCCACCTTATGCTAGCCACACCCATGACAATTGACTTTTTTTTTTTTTTTCTAGGTTCTTTTACCCATTCACATAATTTCTTGTCCTTAGAAGGAGCCCATATTTCATGACAACCAATCAGAAACTCCGTTTGACCAATGCTGGGAAAAGGCTTTGTCTGTTTGCTAGTCATGTCCTATAGAATATCACTGCTCTTAACTTTTTTTTTTTTTTTTTTTTTTTGTTTAAATAAGCACATATGAGTTTATTTAGTATTCCACATGTTTAGAATTCCTTTGCCTCAGTCTCTTGGGCATAATCATGATTTTGAGGGATAATTTATTCTCTGTATATTCACATTTTTCCTAAAGGGGCCATGGAGAGGCAAAATGAGAACATTGCTCTTTACACGTCATTTACCTTCCAGCGATGGCAGGCAATAAGTCATGTCAGTGGGTCAGCTAGTTCTATCCAGCTGAAAGTAGAAGGAAGGCTAAACTATAAACCAACTTAAAAAAATGCCTCCATATTGTCCTGCATACATTTGCTAATAAACGGAAGAGTAAATAGAGTTTTTTGATTGGTTTATTGGTCATGTGATGGGAACGCTCCAACTCTCACAAAAAGCAGTGCATGCCGTACGTTCTCTCAGCGCACACTATTGCAATGCGGTGGTGTGAACTGTCCAGGTAGGGGGCATTTTGCCTTGTCTTGTGGTGGGATTCCGCCGGATTAGCCACCCAACACCTGGTGTGAATAGACCCTAAGGAACCTTTGGCAGATTTTCCCACTCTATTAAAAAAAATATTTGGTGACCAGAAAAGGGGGAACTTAAGACCTAGACACAGGAAAATCCTGAAGCACTCATTACTCCTTCCTAAAAAATGTAATGGTGTCATAATGCACTGATGTTTATATGTAGGATCCAGAGTAAAATGTTCCTCAACTCCTTCATGACAGACGGTAAAACTAATCCTAACGCCTGAACACAATTTTGCAACTTTGACCTGTGTTAGAAAAACTGTACCTATCACAGCAACTACTTTGTGTATCCAGATGGATTATACCATGTTTTTTTTCAGGACAAATTAGGCTTTCAGTACAGCAATGTACTTTTTACTGATCTTTACACGGCATTGATCCATAGACAAGAATGCACTTATATATTCAGATCAGTGAAAATGTGGTCCTTTTTTCTTTACTCTGTGCTATGGAAGATGCATATAAAAGGAAGGGCATATATGTATATCTGGCCATGAAGTATTTATTACAGGTACTTATATAGCGCCGTCAATTTATATATATATTGTACATCCACATCAGTCCCTAACCCTCAAGGGGCGTACAATCTAAGGTCCCTAACTTACAGTCATACATACACATACTAGGGACAATTTAGACAGGAGCCAATTCACCTACCAGCATGTCTTTGCAGTGTGGGAGGAAGCTGGAGTACCCAGAGGAAACCCACGCAGGCACAGGGAGAACATGCAAACTCCAGGCAGGTGATGCCGTGGTTG